GAAGGTGGTGCTGATCACAGGCTGCTCCTCGGGAATCGGTCTCAGCCTGGCTGTCCGTCTGGCATCTGACCCTGAAAAAACATTCAAAGGTAACAGGAGCTGACATCTACCCACCATGGTGTTTTTTTTATGTATTTCCAAGAGAGCTTGCACTGGGTTGATGTTAAGGACCTTTAAACCACACTGAGACACTCTATAGTATGTAATATTGTGCCATACACTCATGAAGCACTTTATTAGGAACTCCATACCAATACTGAGTGTTATGGAATATCTTAGTGTGATTGTATTTGTAAGTTGTCTTCTTATTGTAATGGGAAAAATTTTATCCATCATATGTGTGCTCTCATGTAACCTAATTTTAACCTCTTTGTAGTTCAAGGTAAAGGAGTAGTTCTTCATCTGCATTCAGGTTTTGTCTCCTGAGAATTTATAGCTAGATGCCGGATACTCCCAACTCTCAGCTAGAGGAGGATACTCCCATGTTTACCATAGTAGAAAAGACTGGGATTGTTCTCATTTCAGACTTTGTGGGGACCATTGATCTCTGTACTCAGCCCATTTGCATATGCTAAGTTGAATTAAAACCACAAAGACAGGCCTGAGTCTTTACCTTTTGTAAGGTTTCCACAACACTGGGTAGAGCCTTTCTTTGCTCTCAAAATAGCTTCAGTTCTTTGTGCATGCATGGAGTCCACATGATGTTGGAAACATTCCTTTGAGATTCTCTTCCGTGTTGACATGATTGATTCTGTTGATTGGTTCTGTAGTCTATGCCACAATGAGGAACCTGGCCAAGAAAGAGCGCCTTTTAGAGTGTGTGAAAGGCCTGCACAAAGACACCTTGGACATTCTCCAAATGGATGTGACGGACCGGCAGTCAATTCTGGATGCGAGGGACAGGGTTGTGGAGAAACGACTGGACATTCTGGGTATGACATAGTGTCTGTGTGTTGTGATTAGGATTGCAATTTGTGTGTGTTAATGAGCTTTATCCTTACTACTTACAGTGTGTAATGCTGGTGTGGGTTTGATGGGGCCCCTGGAGCTGCAGTCCTCGGACTCGATGAGGCAAATTTTGGAGGTCAACATCTTAGGTACCATCCAGACCATCCAGGCTTTCCTACCAGAGATGAAGGCTCAGAGCCAGGGCCGCATTCTGGTCACGGGCAGCACCGAAGGGCTTCACGGTGAGACAAGCAAATGGTTGAGGAGTCACTGAATGTCAACAGAGTTCCACGTGTGCAGTTTCTGTAATGATTTGATAGAAATCATGTAAACAAACCAAGTTAAGACTTGATGCCATGCATGACATTGCCAAAATAACCCATCTTGATGCTTAATGCACTCTCACAGGTCTCCCTTTTAATGAGGTGTACTGTGCCAGTAAATTTGCAATAGAGGGAGCATGTGAGAGTTTGGCCGTCCTCCTGCAAAACTTCAATATCCAGTGAGTTTTAAAGTTCGCTGCATCTTGCACCCTGAGTTTAGAGACTGTTGAGTGTATATAGTTTTTGAACAGTTATTATTGATGACAAGGAGAGATTATTGACCTCATCCTTCATCCTGCAGTGTCAGTCTCATTGAGTGTGGTCCAGTCAACACAGACTTCCTGGTCAACATGCAGAAGGCAGAGCTTGGGAATACTTCTCTCCAACAGGTTGATACCAAGACAGTCAGCCTCTATGAAAAATACCTGCAGCACTGTGACTCTGTTTTCCAAAACGCAGCACAGGACACTGAGGACATTGTAAAGGTATGTTGAACGATTACAGCAGGTCATAACTGCATTAGTAAAATGTATTGATGAAGAACAGTTAATTTCTGAAATGCAGTTTTAGCTACTTATGCACAGTTTTGTCTGCAGGCTGGCACATAATCCTGTATCTATAGCGTTTGACTTTTTGTTTTCAATAAATAAAAAAAATCCATAGATTAAAAACAAAATCTGTATTCTAAATCAATTGATGGGCTGGAAAAGATGTTGATAGTATAGTTAGTTGTAGTTCAAGATTTTATTAATTAGTATATATTAGTATATATAGATATATATAAATATATATCTATATATCTATATATATCTATATATGCTAATATATATACTGATATACACATATATAATCCACTTCATCCAGCTATAACATTAAAATACATCATTTAAATGCATTAATAATAATCATTTAATAATGTAAGAATAAATCACCAACGGGAGCTATTCTGTGTATTAAGTACTTTTACTTTCTATACTTGAAATGCTTACTTAATTTTTTTCTGCAAATACTTTCATATTTTATGTTAATGTTTATGTAAATATTTACTTGAATTTTTTTTTGAATAATGGACTTTTGTAGTTATAAATTTTTGTACTGTTACTTTTACTTCAGTTGAAGGCTAAGAATATAGATATACAGTATATGTAGAACAGGTTTATCACAACAAATATGTAAAATTCAGTGTCAATATGAGAACAGCTCTACATCTCACTGTTTTGTTTGTTTTTGTGTGCAAGGTATTTCTAGATGCCATCCAGTCCCCCAGCCCCACGTTCAGATATTTCACCAGTGGTGGTGTTCCACCTCTGACCCAATTGAAGATAACAGAGCCAGATGGCTCACAGTGCATCCGTGCTATGAGCAAAATAATCTTCTCAGTTGAGGAACAATAACTGCTATGCATGCAAAGCTCCACTTCATGCACTTCCTCCACTCTTGCTCTTCCTTTATTTTATGTGTAGATGTTGATATTTAGCTGTTTTAGTTTAGATTTCTGGGATAAAGTTGATGCCCTCTGATTGACTGTTGTTGCTCAACTGGAAAGGGCAGTGAGTTCACACAAGGGTGTAACTCAACACTTCTATGTTTTGTATGTCACTTATGAAAAGTTATATTCCTTATTAAAAAAAAGGATAAAAATGGAGATTATGTTTTATATTTTGAGTAATACAGCAGCTTCAGCATTCCAGACATTTGATAGTGCTCTCACACTCACACTGGGGGGCATATTTTCCTTGGGATGTTTCTGGACACATTGTTAAGTGAAAACACTCACAAGAATTTACTTATGTAAATTATAATTGGCCATTTTAAGCAAACTCCCAAAAGCATTGAAAGCAATGTGCTTGATTTTTGTATGAATGAATGATACTGAAAGTTGTCTTTCTTTTCTGTTGTTGGCTTTACCTCTTATCTTAAATTTCCCATATAGTCATGAATGAATAAAATGCTTCAAATGAACTAAACTTGCAGATTGTACTGTGCAGGTGTTCATGTTGTTGTCGCCCCTGTGACTTAACTTTCTCTGAATATTAAATAGTCAAGGTAGGTCTCACAAGGTATATGTCACAAGTATTTATTGTATGTCAAAAATTTATGAAACTACATAATAATCAGGAAATGCAGTATGTGATTGAAACAGAGCAAACCCTTTTTTTTTAGCAACCTTCAAACAGCTGGTCTAGTTTGAAAGTGCCCTCTCACCTAGAAATTGATTCTCTCTGTGTTCTCTGGTCCTTTGTACATACTGGAACAAAAAAGAGAGATGGCCTCATTTATTCTAAGGTGATTAGATTTCAATATGTCTTGATATGTATTTTTAATCTTTGAAAGGAATCCTTATGGGTCTTTGTCAGACAGGTTTTTTTAGAAAAGTCATCAAAAGTGATATTTTGTACACTGGGAGACATATTTTAAATCTACACATACAATTACGTTCATTGATCGCTTGGATGAAGACCTGTCAATGATTAATACATCTGTTAAAAAGCAAGTGAGCTAGAAACGTAGACTTTGACGTCCTCACAAACCAGTGACATCAATAGAGTGACTTCATCAAACGTGTAGGATAGTTAAGTGAATTTAGTGAATATCCCACAAAGACAAATAAGCATAAACAAACAAAAAAATCTAATAGAAACACTGCAATTCAAGATGTATGCAATTTAGAATGACCTCTACTAGCCTTCCTTTTCATTAGAAATCTAAAAGAGGTCATTTAAAGTCTATGGACCATTAGGAAATGTCTTTTAAAACTTTCTGAATTGTTGTAAGTAAGTTGTAAGGAGGATTTTAACCAGCTTCAGTTAGGCTTTCCACTGAATCACTGATCTGTTCAAAGTTTAAGGATCAAAGCTTGATCGAGCGCCAGCTGGAACAGTAGCTGTGTAACTTTTGGCTGGGCTGTTAAGCCCTCGAGTATGTTCTCTTACAACCTGAGACAGGTTATCTTGTCTGCACATCGACGTGTTACGCTTGCGGCCAATCTTTGATAGGATTAACTGAGGTTCTAAAATCCCCCATGAACAAGTGCCCTAATTCCAGTCTGAAGATCCTGAAATGGATCCTGCACTTCCAGTTCTTACTGTGTTACCACACAGCCACTAGTACAGCAGCAATTAGAGGTGTCAGCCTCTTAGAGCCTGTAGTATTATGCAGATCAATATAATGAGAGTTAAGTAAAAGCTGTTGTAAAACATACTAATATGAAACTTAGTTTTCCTAAACCTCTCTCCTACTATCAGTCTATGCTTTAAAGTGTTTCAGATAGGTGATCCTCCATTGAACATTGCTACAGTAAATTTTTTCTGTGCATGTGATGACTTTCATTCCAGTGTGGCACCAAAGTCCAGGTTGATCATGTGCATAGCGTGTGCTTGCTGGACTCATCGCTCACTACCTCAGCCACACACTATCATGTAGACTTTGGTTTGTTCACAGAAACATCTCAAACCCTGTGTACCCAACTGTCAAACATGTACTTCAATACTGTGTGTGTCCACTTCACATGAGGAAACAAATGTGTATTTTCTTTTCATTAATATCTGGATGGCAAGAGTGAACCATTTAATAAAGTCAGTGCATGACTCATATAAGTCCTGAATCACGTGTTCACCTATTACTGGTTAATCTCAACTTTTAAACTTTTTCGACCTTTCTCCCTGATTGGCCAGAGCCAATAGCGCCTCCCGTTACGTCACTACTGTCCTTAATGGTCAAGTGCAGCGATTTGTTCAGTCTGAACAACGTTGAGTTGCTGTTGTTGCTGCTGCGGTTAAAAACACAGTCGTCTCTCTAAAGAACTCGTATTAGCTTTTTTTGTGTGTGTGTAAACTTCACAATGGCGAACAAAACGACACCTCTTCTCTTCAAAGCGCTGCTGGACATGTCTGAAGTCCACTCCTCGAAAGTTGTGCGAGGAAACACTAAAGGAGCAAATTTCAGGTGAGTCACATTAGGACTTTCCCGCAGAGATGTGTACAGGTAGACGGAATGCTAAGTTAAATTCATATTCTTTAAATTGAGTTATTTTATTACTCAGAATGGTAGACTCAACACAGTGTTTTGAGAAAGGTGCAACACTTACACACTTAACATAAATTACATACGAGGTAAGCTCATAGACTGAATGCACAGGAAAATGCTGAACTGATCAGTCTGGTGGCTGGTACAGGTCCTCCTAAGTGAACCAGGGCACAATTCATCAATGTCTTCTCATGCATACAACTTCCTCCCCCCTCAGACACTTGGGATCCTGTGGGGCCCTGGCAGTGAGGAGGAGCAGCCTGCCCATCAGCCCCGCCACCTCCATCTGCATCCCCAGCCGCAGCTTCATCAACCTGGCTCTTCCTATCAGCTCCCGCAGGATGGAGTACACCGAGTGCCGGACATTAGGGTGAGTGCCCTGATGTAATATGTGATAAAACAACTAGAACAAGAAAACAGTAACTCACTAAAAAAAGAATTTAGTTTGACAAACTGAGCAATTTGAAGACATAGCCTTGGGCTCTGGGAAATGATGAATATCATTTTTCACTATTACTATTACTATCCTTAGGATTTATAGACAGAATGATTAATCAATTAATTGAGAATTTTTTTAAGATTCATTTTAATGAAAACAATTTCTAGTTGCAGCCCCAGTTGAGAGCATTATATATTAATAAAAAACACTGAAAATAGAGCTTTGATAAATATTAAACAAAAAAACATGTAAAGATAAACCTTAAAAATGGTACCAGAATACGCAAAACTGAGCATTAAATAGAAATGAAAAACAACTTTAAGAATTAAACTCACAACTCTATATCACCGTAGCAACATCATCTCATTGGATGTGCCTTTGTCTGCTTGTCATTGTGTGCTCAGGTATACTCCAGAGCAGATGTACAAGGTGGTGGCCAGTGTGGACCAGTACCACCACTTTGTTCCCTGGTGCAAGAAGTCTCGGGTGGCGAAGGGACAAAATGGTGATGTCCGGGCGGAGCTCGAAATAGGTTTTCCCCCCATCGTGGAGCGCTACACCTCTGAGGTCACAGTTGTCCCAAACCATCAAGTCAGAGTAAGTCCTGGTCCTGGTAGATCCAGAAAATAATCATTACAAATACATTCTTATTTCCTCAAACACAAAAAATCTACATTTAAGGCTTTAGGTTTTCACATTTTTGAACAGTGAGCAGCCCCCTCGTGCTGCAAAGTCTCTTCTCTTCCCAATGTTTGTGCCATTTTTGGCACCTGGATTTACGTGAATTACTTCCCATAATTCTGCAAATCACAGCTGGGAAGTGAAAGTGAAATTTGTGAAAATGCTTAAGAAAAAGTAGCTGTAATTTGTGTTGAATAGAAAAGTGACATCAATGCAGTGGAAGTTTTCTCTGGACCAGCATGAGCAGGCATTAGGGGAAGTGCAGCTTTCACATTTACATCTCTCAGCTGCAGTGGCTTCCTATTGGTCCCGCCATACCATCCTATTTCACGTTACAAATGTGTATTTCTTCTTATCTTTGCATCATGCACAGGATTGTAGATATAATGTCAGTTTTCAACAACAGATGTCTTGATTCTTGATTCTGGGCTCCTCCAGAGAGCAGAGAGATGAAAACCGCTTTGTCTGGACTTTGAGACAGGGTATGCTCATTGCCTTTTAGCAATCAATGATAAGTAAATGTTCATTTGTTTTGAAACAGGCTGTGTGCACTGATGGATCCCTATTCAGCCACCTTGAAACAACATGGAGGTTTGCCCCTGGAGCCAAAGACCTACCAGACTCATGCAAAGTGGATTTCTATGTAAGTGTATAAGATTGTATTATGTGATATTATGATTAAATTAATATCTGACCCTGAGAGCCACAAGGACATCAGGTCTTTGCAGCACCCACAGTAGTCGGAGATATTGAGACAAGGGGAAAAGTAGAATAATGTAAAGAATGGCTGGGAAGAAAACAGTGACAGCAAATCCATGAAATGAACAACCCAAATCAGGTTACATGTTTAAGGACAGACTAATTCCAAGTCTTCGCTTCTGTACTGTTGTGAGTGGATTACCAACTGAAAGGAAGTGTTGAGTAAAATCTCATTATGCTCTAAATTTAGCCTTGAGTAGCATGCTGGTGTTCCTGGAGGGCTGAAATAGCTGTCAGGGCAGGGAACAGTGTTAAAGAGCCGCTGACAGGAGTTAAACCCTAATGTTGGCTCAGATTACCTCAGGGTCAGCCAGGAAGTAGTTAGATTTCAATGGAACACGTTAAATAAAGGATGCTGTGGGAATGATTATCAGTGAACATTTAAAGAAAGTAAAGTCTGACTGTTAAAAAACAACTTTTAAATCAGACAAAGATGTTTTGTGTTGTGATTTTCACCTCAGACAACAACCAGAGAACTGACAGTGATGTGTCTAGATACTTGCAAGCAATCAATTTAACTCATAGGTGAATTAACAAAGAGTCTATTAAACAGTAAGGTAACATATTTTTCCCCCTCCTGTATCCCCTACAGGTGTCATTTGAGTTCAAGTCCATTCTGCACTCTCAGCTGGCCAGCGTGTTCTTTGACGAAGTGGTGAAGCAGATGGTCAGTGCCTTTGAGTCACGGGCGGCAACACTTTACAGGAACCAGCAGGTGTCACTGAGGAGGCGGTCTACATGAGGCAACCCTACCCTCTATCCACATCCACTCGGACCTTTAAACAAACCCTGCCAGCCTGCTGCTCATACCTACAGTCAACACTTGTTTTACACAGGAGACAGGATCTTTTCAGATTCTTTTTGCACTGACTCATATCCTATTCTTGAGTTGACATGCACAGGAAATATACTTAAAACTATTTATTTATAAGCCACAAACTAATTTATTTATTTTCTTGTACTTATATATTTATTTTACAGTTAGGAATAAATGCATTGTTTTCAATTATCATTTTGTTTTTTTTTTTAATTCTGGGATAATGTACAGTCAAGTGACTGCTGCTCAGTGCTGAAACATCTAAAAGGGTTCAGAGCTTTTTCCTGTCTGGCATTATTTCCGTCAGTGGAAATTAAAAAGCTCTTGTTGTGTGGTAAACATGTGTCCAAGCATTTCATCTGAAACTGCTTACTCCTTGTTATGTCTGGCCAAAGGTGTGGGAAAAAAAGCATGTGCTTTCAGGACCAGTTGTATAAGCAAAGTACCACTGACCTGAGGCTACAGTCAATACTTCCTTCCTAACCAGGTCCCTGTTAAAACTGAAATGCTGTGGCTATATGCAGCCTATATTCAAAAACTTCATTTAAACTACATTTAGTCCAGTTTTAAAATTTTCTTTTCAGCTGAATTACAATCACCCTCAAAAGATGTTGAAAAATCATTAGACCTATTTATTGATCAATGTCTTGTGTGTTTAGAGGTTAACACAGTTTTCTTTATTTTTATTTACAGCAATTAATGTACGTCATGGTCTGTTACATGTTGAGAAACCTCTAAAAGGAAATGGGGTGATTTTGCTTGTGCTTGACCATTTTAGCAGCACAGAATACAAACTACAAGTACAAAATCAATTGCCTTTGCCACAAAGTTGCTGCTGGTTTGCTTTTCTGCTTCCCCATAAGAAGCAGAAAAAATTTACTGGAGGAGCAAAAGTGCTCCTCATGTCTGGAATCCTGGTAAATGTGCCTGAAAATACGAATCAAGTCCGGCCCAGTGGTGTTGTTGCAGAAATCTCTGAAACACACTGGTTTGTTGTTTGGAAATATGTGAGTTTTCCCACCAACTAAGACATCAATAAAGAGGGAGGAGCATGGTTATTTCCCTAAACTGGAATTCCTGGTTTTGCAGAAGCTCAGATAGAGTATAAAAGGGGAGTGGGAGCAGAGAAAGACTGTACGGAGACTGAGATTCACAACCACAAGGATGAAGAAGATTGCAGTCCTGTTTGTTGCGCTCAGCTGCAGTCTATGTGACGTTCAGGTTAATGAAAACAAATCCAGCTGCTGTGAAATCTATTCCCTCACTTCCATAACCCACCTGGGAGCAGTGGAAGAGAAAATCACAAACATGGCAGAAAAAATAACACTCCTGGAGGCCAAGTTGCAAAACACTGAAAAAGAAGTCCTGGAGCTGCGGAGCCATACTAGAGGTGACATAGAACAAATGTTTTTATTGAACACAATAATGGGATGTAATTCCTCCGTGTAAATATTCTTACCTCTCGTGTGTTTGTGGTAATTTTTATGTTCTCAGGCACACCTCAGGTGGCCTTTTCTGTAGCTCTCAGGGATTCTGGCTCTGGAGACATTGGACCTTTCAATACTGCTATCGCTCTGCAGTACAAGAGGGTCTTCTCAAACACTGGCAGTTGCTACAATCCTTCAACAGGTAGTGTATTTCAGGGGGAGAGAGAGAGAGAGAGAGAACCCAAATGAGTGAAGAACCCATGAAATTTAAATCATCTTTTTATTCCCCTTATTTTGGCAGGCATTTTCACAGCAATGGTCAAAGGAATGTACTTCTTTCGATTCTCAATGTTCAACAACTTAAGTCCTGTTCCCAACTCTGTTGTAAGCCTCATGAAGAACGGTCAACGGCTGGTCTCTGTCTGGGACACCTCAGGTTCTGACATCAACGACATGGGCAGCAATGCTGTGGTCATCCCCCTCGAGCTGGGAGATAACGTGTATGTAGAGCTCCAGGCAAACAGGATTGTCTATGATGATAGCATGAACTACAACACCTTCAGTGGTTTTCTGCTCTTCACTGTGTAATTTAAACAACGTGATTTCAGGTCTGCATGGCTCTTCATGGTTTTACTGTAGAGGAAATATCTCTGTTCATACTGCTGAGTGGTAGCCCGGAAAGTGGAATCTGTGACACCATCTGCTTTGTATGTATTTAGCTGAACAAACAGCAAATTTGGAGAGGTTCATTTTTTGAGATGGGTTACTGTATTAGTCACGTCTGGGTATCAAATAAATATCAAGTTTCAATCTTCTTAATTCCATTTGGTGCCTGTGAGTTTTTCTACAATGGCATTATTGTTTTCCACATGTACACAGATACAATTAATCTACCCTTGAACAATAGATTTGGCTGTGCTCTAGGCCAAATTTGGCCCAGTTTATCAGCCTTCTAGAAATCATTTGGCCTAAATGAAACATCTGCAATAAGAAAAGAAAAACTGAATGTTGCTTGTAAAGAGGTGTTGTTGAAGACTGAAAACACACCACATTAAATCACAAGTATAAATACTCCGTATGATACTGTATAGTTACATTTTTCTCAAATAGTATTAAAAATGCAGATGTTAATAATGTCACATCTCAATATTATTTCTTAGGCCACACTCCATACCACTTGCTGGCAGTAATGCACCGTTTCGATGTTTGCAACCGTCTTTAAAAAAAAAACACCAGGAAGAAGACGAAGAGGCTGACGATGACGAAGAAGAAGAATACGACGACGCCGGAAAACGCCATTTTGTTGTTGAGCAAGAGAAGAGAAGAAGGATCGAGAAGCATTAGGAAAGGTATAAAACATTATTTAAAAACATTTACTGTCCGAGTGTCATAGATGCAATTTACATTTTGAATAAGGGTAGAGACAAGCGTGAACAAGTTAACGTCTGCGTGGTTACAGATGGCTGTAAGTCGTATAAGCTTGCAGTTCAGTTCGTTAGCTGTTTCCTTAGCAGTTTAACTTTAGCACAGCTTAAGAAGTTTTAACATTAGCTCGCTAAATCTGCTCTTAAACTATCAGTAGATTTATCAACCGTTATAAGCCTTTTACGTATGGAGTTACTTATATGCTTTGATAATCTAATATCGGTAGTGACTTCCAAAACAAAGCTAGGCTATGCTAGATTTCCTGCTGCATGCTAACCGATGAGTATTATCACTTACAACAGCATTTACAACACGTAAGTGTTGTAAGAATTAAGATTAAAGCTATATTAAACACCTAACATTTTGTTTTATGGTCGCTGGAATTAACTACACAAGTCAAGTGCAACCTTAACTGAAGGCAGTGCGAAATAGAAGATGCATTCTTTTTAAATTAAATAGACAAAAATATGTGTTAATTAGCATCGCATACGTCTGTATAAAGACAGAGAGATGCTAATGATGCTCAAAGAGATGCTCCAATAGCTCATTACTTTTAACTTTACATGGAGCACATAAGAAAAAAAAAAAAGATCCTGTCTGGTTTAAGTTGTCCGTCAGAATAATACCCCTGACTTATTCTAATACTAATTCTCCAGTACAATTCGAATTCCTCTTGCTGTTGAGTGCACATAAACCAGTCAGTCCTGTTTACTTAAAGAAGCATTTACTTAACAGGACTTCCTCGTTCATCTGAGACTGGACGATAGCCCCAACCCTAGATATAGGTAGTAGAGTGACATATGTCTTTATTAAAATTTTATCAGTACCGAAATTAATTCTTGCATCGATACTGGTAAAAAAATAAGCAGAACCAAAAAGATTTTCTTTTATACTTTGCATGCTTCCAGGGATGCACGTAATGGTTATTTGAATCATTCGTTGATATATATATATATATATATATATATATTCTTAGTTTGATTAGGCAGTTAATCACTTAATTATAAAATTGTCAAAATACTGAAAAATACCCATCATGTTTTCCCAGAGTTCAAGGTGATGTCTTCAAATTGCTTGCTTCGTCCAATCAGTCCAAAAACCAAAGATGTTTTCTTTACAGTTATGTAAAACAAAATAAAGCAGGAACAACCAGCATGTTTTTTTCTTAATTCATTGGCTAATCATTTCAGCACTATATAATTCTGCTTGTTTTTTCTTCTATCGGTGGTCTTTAATGTACTTCTCAAAGAGTTAAGGATCAATGGCAGCTCTTCTCATTGTCATTGGTTTGTTCTTTAGTCTCGGGTGTGACAAACCTCATAGTGCTCCATGTCTGTAATGTCAAATACACTGTGTTGTATTTGTGTCAGCTGATACATAATTGGTGTTGCCTTATTAGACCTTATTAGAGGTTTATAGTTTTTGAGAAAACTCTGTAATCCATACTTGTATCTTGCTACCTGCCCACAGATGTTAACTTTTGCTTGGGAATATTTTGGCTATCTTAAAACATAGTGTTGTATCCAAGGTCTTAGAGTTAGAGTTGGTGGGAGCTTTTTATTAGCTGATAAAACAAAATACTTTTATAGAGTGCGTCACTGAAAAAGATGTTTTTCTGAACATGGAAGTTATAAGTTGAATCTGAGTTGAAGTGATTGCACACATTTGGTCATATTACTATCTTACTATACTATATTATTATGAAGTGCTGTTTAAGAAGTAGAAACTACAATAGTGCTTCTTATTTTTGGTACATGACTGACTTGATTCTCTTCAAAATTCTCAAATTGGTCAAGATTATGAGGCCCAAAGACTATAATTTTGTCTACACCTACTAAATCTATGGATGGACTGTTAAAATGGTAACTTGCTGCTGCCTGCAGTCACAATTATAAAAATAAAAACAGTCTTTATTCATGTCTGGTTGTTTAATGGAAACATTATTGGTTAGGATTTGGCCACTGGTTAGGATTTGTGTTTATTGGCTTTGCAGCATGCCTGCCATATGATCAGTCTCAGCTGCTCGTCACAAGTACATACTGTAGCTGTGAAGGTATTTTGAAATGCTGCATAATGGAGTTCACACTAACAGTCAGTATTCACACAACCAGCTCTTCAGCAGCTGTATAGCTAGATTAAACCTGCTTTTCTTGTTTTATCCCTGAAGATTTAACAACATGGTTGCCATCACCTACAGTGGACTAGAAACGATCAGTCGATTCATGGATTTTTTTGACTGTATTTGACACAATTTTGATAAATAGTTTGATTCAGTGGTTCTCAGCTTTTGGGTTTTGACCCCCACAAACGGTGGCAAGATAAATCTGAGGGATTACAAAATGATTTTCAGGATAGGAAAGCAGAACAAAAAAAGATCTGAACATTTTTTTCAATCTTCTCTTTAAGCTTTGCAAGATATTTTAGATCTTCAGGCTTCCAAAAAATTGTCATATAAAATGAGGAAAACACTAACTTTTTGGTTGAACTAATCATGTCCAGTACCAAATATATGTGTAAAAATAGTGAAAATAATTAGAAGATGAATTGACAATTAAACTAATTATAAGTTGCAGCCCTATAGCAGACAAAGTGATGTGATGTCAATATTCCTATTGTAGCATGAGAATTTGTAACAGTCTAAAACATGAATAGTGAGCAGCAGATCTTGGTGCCAGTTCCTCAGAACTGAAACGAAACAAAAGGGCTTTTCTCTAGACTGGACATTTTGCATTGTCAGCCAACAATCATCAGCGATATCAGTTTCTTTTCTGACAATAGATGCAGTTGTCCACAATCCAACACTACTAGAGGACATGTTGTTTTCTTAGTTTCTGGCTCTTGCTGTTCCTGAGCTGGAGGAATGTGCTTTCTTTTTTATTTACTGGTGCTTATCTCTACTGTGCTCGCCACCTGTACAGACTGTATAATACACAGCTGAGCGGAAGAAGCTGAGGCACTTTGCCTCTAGTTGTCCACAGACAGTGTATAAAAACCTTAAAATTATTGGGTAAAGGCTGAAGAAAACATAACAGATATGTGATTATGTATATGATTTACAGCACTTGATCACTGAATTATTCCTGGACCTCATTGATTGTTTATGTCTGCAGTAATTTTCCAGTCATGAAGTTTAATATTACTAGTAAGGTTGCAGGATTTGCAGCATGTTGGGGTGAATAGACATATAATGTGATTATTGTTCAAATAGAGCTGTAACATTAAGTCAATGAATCAATGTAAATGTGAGAATTTGCTGTTTGCCTTAAATTATAATAAATGGATTCTCTTTGGATTTTGAACTGCCAGACCAAACATCACACTGGTCACAAGTAAATCTTGATTGCCATTGTTCACTGTCATAGATCATACAGTTATCATGCAATTAATTACTTTATTGAGCAAATAATCAGCAAATTAAGAAACTGTCAGTTGCAGCCCTGAAGTAATTTACCATGTAAAAACACAAATTCTCCAATGCAAAGAATTGCATTAATTTCTAAGTTTCACATCTTTGTAAACTAAATATTTGTGCGACATCTAGCCCTGGTTCATGACCTCCTGCCTGTGATGACAATGTCAGTCATAAATGGGAATTTCACTTAAATATATTGACATTCAAATGACTGCTTTTCTGTGTCACTGCCAACATATAAAATAAGAGGTAGAGAGTGAGCACACAGCAAAGACAAACTTAATTGTATTAGGTCATTCATTTCTGTAATATAATTACATGTATGTGAATGCTGTTTTTTGGTATTTCAGTCATGTTTATGAAATTAGAACTACAGGCAGGAGTCTGGTGATGTCATGTGACAATAGTCTCACATGAACGGGGTCAAATGCAGGTTGTAATCTTTTTCACAATTGTGCTTATTCCGCTGACCTGTGACAGAGGCTTGGCAAACTGAAGTCATAAATGAAGCTAAATGAAGCGACTTTACACTGCCTGAGTGGCTGACTCACCTCTACTTTTCTGTTTGATTAATATCAATATCATATTGTTGGTTTATCTTGTTTACCTCAGCAGTTACCATCACCAGCTTGTTACCATCTGTTACTTGCCTTTTTATTTTTTTTCCAGAAAAGGGTGAAGAGGAACTTGAGAAATAGCAGAAGAGCTTTTTATAGTCATTAAAATGTGCATAGACATTTGAATTTGGTTTTGAAGGGGCGGTGTTGAGGAGGTGTTGACAGCACTTAAGCTGTCTGTGGCAACATTGCTAGCCACAGTATATCTAACAGACAGACAACATCAGCTTTGAAAGGTGGAACATTAACTCTTTGATAATCTCTCTGTCATTACAGTGTGGTGCAACTTTTTTAGAGACGTGACTGCTCGATATCCTTTGTCCTTCTGCTGGTGAGCCAAGATGGGGAATATTGCTAGCCTGTTTAAAGGGTTGTTTGGCAAGAAAGAGATGAGGATCCTGATGGTAGGACTGGATGCTGCGGGAAAGACCACCATCCTGTACAAGCTCAAACTGGGAGAAATTGTTACCACAATCCCTACCATTGGTGAGTCCTGTCTTGCATCTTCATGAGCGTAACCCTTAGTGACTGGTACCTTGGTACTGATGAGAGAACTCAGACATTTTTAACTTGTGTCTCTCTTTGTTTTTTTCCCCTCATCCACAGGTTTTAATGTAGAGACGGTAGAATTCAAGAACATCAGTTTTACAGTGTGGGATGTCGGTGGTCAGGACAAGATCAGGCCGCTCTGGAGGCATTACTTCCAAAACACACAAGGTAATAGGCTTCCTGATGTTTCCACATCTCTCAGTCTGTTGCACAAGGATTAGCCCATTGTTGGTTGAATCCTGCATTACAATTGTAGACCTTTATCCACTTCCCTTCTATACAGTAAACCATGCCTTTTTTCCATTTTCAGGCCTTATCTTCGTAGTAGACAGTAATGACAGGGAACGAGTCGGTGAGGCAAAGGAGGAGCTGATGCGAATGCTGGCTGAGGACGAGCTGAGGGATGCCGTGTTGCTCGTGTTTGCCAACAAACAGGTAAATTTGTGTCACTGCTCTTAAAAGTAGAAAAGAAAAAAACAAAATCATTAGAGGGATTGGCACCAATCAGCTGATTTTAGTCAACCAGACAATTTACTAAGCAGGAGATTGGCCCATTGCCATTTGATGGTTATGATCAAAGAAAACCCCCATTTATGAACCCATTTGTAAATACAAATTATTTCTTTTCTCAGTAGGTACGATAATTGTAGATGAGAATTTAATTCAATTAAATTGATCTTATCTGTACATTATCCCAAGAGAACATGTAGATTGAGATCTGTTGTTTGAGTTGCAATTTAATTTTCACAGTAAAGAGTTAAATATCTATATATGATAACACAACATAATAATACAAAAAAACAGCCCAAGTGGTCATATCTCTTAAAAGACAACCAGAAAACATTTCATTTAAGTAATATAATTATTGATTTTTTTTTTTTTTTTTTTTTCATTTTAGCTGTGAAATTTATGAACTATAATTGTATCATAAGCAGAGATTATATTTATGTGGGTTGAAACACTCAATTAATTTTAATTTAGAATAAGTTTAGAAGCTAAAAGTAAATTAAATCTGCTTAATTGCGCTTACATCATCACTCAGTCTAATTGCATTTACTCATAATAACTAGTTATATAACAACTATGGAAGAGTGGAAACTGGAGACATGGTGGAGCACAGTGTGGAATAAAATGACACCAGCAGCAACAGTAACAATGCAGGGAGACACATAAAATAAGACATTTATGCATGAATCCGGGCTCCCAGTGTCACACTGGGATGCGTACCAACACACCCAGCTCATGTAACTGCAGTCACACAAGTTCTCAAAAGAACCAAATGAGCTGATATTACAGTTTTACTTTTTACCTTTATAATTCTAAAAAGTTATAATGAGCCAATAGTGAGTAATCAACCTATGCCAGTGCTCCTTCCTCAGTTTGAACTCGATATACCTCACTGTGCCACGGTGATTATTTTCTCAATTAATTGTTTGGTCCAAAAAAAAAGTGTTGTTTTATCTGAGCAAAACATGCAAAATACTCAGGTTACGGTCATAGAATAAAACTAGAAAATACTCACATTTGAAACTAAACAACTAATATATCTAATATATACTAATATATGAAAATATTAACTTTAACTTTATTTTGATGGATTAATCGACTAATTGTTGCGGGTGTAGCTGGAACTACTTAACTCTGGCGAGACGCTCATTCAGAAACTTTACAGGCTTGTGCAAATTTCAGTTATATTGTCGTTATAAGTCATGACTGTTGTGAATTTTATAAAGCTGCATTATTACATTTTTAAAATGGTGATTAATAACACTGATACAGATCCAGTATATTGAATCAGTCATCTGCTTCTGATATTATTAAGCAGTTGGTGATTGCAAGTGATCTATGCAAACCTTAACAGGGAATGTTTCTCTTCTCGTTTATTTACTATTGCATATTTTCTGCTTTCAGGACCTGCCCAACGCCATGAATGCAGCTGAGATCACAGACAAGCTGACCCTGCACTCCCTGCGCCAACGTAACTGGTATATCCAGGCCACATGCGCCACCAGTGGAGATGGTCTCTATGAGGGTCTGGACTGGCTTTCAAGCCAGCTGAAAAACGCAAAATGATCCATCACTCCCCCTCCTGTCTGTCATCTCTGTCTGCAGTGTAATGGGAGACTGCACTGGTCCTGGTCTGGCTCACTCCTCTTCTCCTCTCTTTCCTCTGAAGAGTTGGACCATTGGCCAGTGCTCCCCGCTCACTGCATCTGTGTACTGTATGTATGTTTGGATGAGTATTTTTTTTGGATGAATGAATGTATGTGTGAGCCGAGTGGGAGCAGCCCTGCTGTGCCTTGACCACAGTTAACTCTTAAACACCTCCTCCCACTTCCAATGTCGGCACACCCAAAGGTACTGGTTTCCACAAAGCAAAAGACAACACGAGACAAGTCATCTTTCAAGAATGTTTGTTAAAAAGATAAATATGATTTACATCTTTTAGCGGCATGAAGGCCTTTATGATAACTGTTTATTCACCAGTGATATTCGATAGAATAAAATACCTGACATCTAAAATCAGTTCAGATTATTTTGAAAATTGAGATTTTGCAGATTTAAGTTTCAACTCCTACAGCAAACACTGGATGTTTTGTTGATTCTCTTATAGTTGTTTGAACTCTCAAGTCCATATCCTGCATCAGCATCAGTCCCTCCTCCCTGACCCTGACCCTTTCATTAGGTCTCTTATTTTACACACACAGGCTTAAGAAGATCTGTCACAGCTGTGTCTGGAACAGGCAATAAATGTAGTCAGCGCATGTTTACATAAATAGAGGTGTGTTGAGTGTAGCTACAGCATCATTGGTGGATGTGTGTATCCTCTGGGTGCTGTGTGGGTGTCAGCTACATCCAGTCCATTGGAACGACGAGGCCTTTTTTTTTTTTTTTTTTTTTTTTTTTTTTTTTTTTTAAGAGTTGCTCCCACTCTGGCTTTTTATTTACTGATAGTCTTATTTTCGCTTGTATGTAGTTCTTTTGGTTTAGGGTCTGTACTCTGTTTTATTTTATAGTTTTTTTTTATGTTACTGTTGATGCATGCATGACCTGGTTTACTTCAGCATGAGCTGACATGCCAGGTGTGCAGTGTTTCGAGTAAAATGCTCTCGGGACCAATTGGTTGGATTCAGGAATGGCTCATTGTGTTTGGTTCAGCTATGGATTCGCCCGCAGAGCGTGAAGTCGCCTCCTCTGTTGTTTTCCGGAGGGCACACACGCTCTTGACCAAATTGTCAGTGTTGTGATAGACGGTACAGTTGATCTGTAAGTGTTTGCTCTGGCCTGCTGTATGAATCAGCACTGTAAATGCCTCCTCAATGCTTCAGGCTGTATGGTGTTTTCCCTGCATGTATCCAGGGTGCTTCTCCTGGTGTTATTTACATCGTGTCCCTGTGATGCCATTTGCATAACCTCATCAGCTTGCACAACACAGGCCTGTGTTAAGAAAGCAGTTTATCCATCAGCCTTTGCAATGAACCCATAGACAATAACTCTTCCCATTGCTCTACACCAGCAGACAGTTAAAATGTGCACGTGAGAATGTTACCCTAGATCAGCCAGTAATAGAATAGTTTCCCACACATGCATTGATCCCAAATGCTCCTGCAATTAATAAGAAAACAATCTTGAACAGTGCACACCCATTACTGAGTGAAGATGACTTTAAGGTCATAATATCACACTGACCTCTAAAGGGAAATTCACTTTCCCTCTTTTGTTTTTCTATAACTGGACATTTAGATGTTTTCTTGGAAAGTTTGAGTAACTGAATGACTAATCTTTTGGGCATTCTCCGCCCTTACGTTATGGTATTTCCTTAAACATCCGTAGATTTCATAGATGCATTACATAATCTGGTATGCAGAAAGAAATACAAATGTATATAATATTCTGTAAGAAAATGTATTTTAACTTGACATCGTCCACCTACCCTTGTTCAGATGTGAAGCTTTAATTTTCAAGACCGTTTCTGTACAAATAACAAGGTATGTGCATATGTATTTCTTAAGTACCTTTTATGCTTTTTTAAACTCATCTTGTAACATCTGATAAATGCACTATAATAAAGAGATCTCTATTATACATCTGCATTATTGCCCTTCTCATTTGCATAACTTAAAAATGAATTTCAGGGTGTTCATATCAGAAATGCATTCATTAAAGTAATGAATAAAATACATTTTAGGTAGCAAACGTCTCATAGAAACTGAATATTCAAAAGAAAGAAAATGACTGACGGTTAATGTAAATGGATTTGAGTCACAGTGTGCAGTCATACCATACACCATAACAGCTCTGATTAACTAAAAATGATATTCATTCGTCACTTTATTTTCTTAACCTGATAGCATGTTTTCTGTTTGAGTGTAGATCATATCAGCCATTTTCTGTCAGAAATCCACATACGTATATTTAATGCTTATCAAAGACCTGACAGGTGTCAAGAATGTGAGTTGCCTTTCGGATCTTATTTTCCTGCTCAGTCAAATGTGTAAACATGACACTTTCACCTTCCTCAGTGTGTTACCTGTCAGTCAGCAGGCTCAGAACCATGCGGATCTGTCCTCAGAGATGATTTTTTTTTACAGGCCATATGATGTTTGTTCAGCAAAAATTGTTCCGATTCATTTTTCTTGACAGTTGAGACATTTGTTTGGTAAATCCACAATCATGGTAAAGTTCTGTGCATCAGCTCTTCAGGTCTTTGCAGATGTTAATGAGAAGATTTTTTTTTTTTTTCTATCAGATTGACGATATGAAGAACATCTGGCAGCATCTGTAGTTTTAATAGCAATTCTCTGCCAGCTCCTCCTCTCACTCTTAATTTCAATTTCCTTCCAGTGTGCTATCAGGGGAAAAAATATGATAATGACTACTGATGTGATGATTTAATTAACTTCTTTAAGGTTAATTGCAGTATTAAAGCTTCAAATGAATAATTATTCTGCCTTTTCAGGAAATATACAATGAGCTTCCAACCAGCTAAACACTAGACTGTACCAGTGGATCTTTTCACACCATGTTGAGTCACATTTGCTGACACACCCTTAACCTGTGCATACACGGATGTTACCAACAGCTTTGCTCAGACAAATCAAATACTGTGTGTAGCTCAATATCAGATCCCCTCAGGTATTTGCGTAAGCAAGACTTTGAATCTGATTGGGGTGAATCTGGAGAAGCAGACATGTCTAAATGAAATATATTAAGGTTGTAGAGCTGAGTATGAGCTGAAATTTTAAAAAGTTAAACATTTGAGTTATTTTTCAAGCAAAAATTACCAACTTCTCCAATCTATGATTCATAGACAAGACAACTAATTTGCTTGCTGCTTTATTTACTAAATGACTTATTTTCATTATAGATTAATCCACCACTTGCTTTCTTGATTGATTGATAATGAAAATAATCATTAGTTGCAGCCCTAAATGGTTACATTAATTCTAAGTGTTAGCATGCTATTATGCTGGCCTTGGCACTGGGAACATCCTTAGAGTTGTTTCCACACTAGAAAACTTAATAAAACTGAGCATTGCAGTTCCTGAATGGGACCACTGGAGGGCAGCAAACACGCATGATTATGAATACACTCAGATCAACTGTTAATGAATACCTAGCATGTACACCTAATATTCTTTCCACTGTTAAGTATTTTATGTGTATAATGATATAGATTCTATTAACACAGTACTAAATCTTATGTCATAAGTATACTATCCATCTATAATGTCATCTTGATTTTCCATATTGTAATTCTACTGTTTTGGTCTATTCTGTACACAGGTCATCGCTGCATGTCTGTCTCAAGTAAAGGCTTGTTGGGGAGTTTTTCCTTATCTAAATGGAGAGTCTATGGACATGCAGTACACATTGTAAAATACTTCTTGAGGCACATTAGTGATATTTGGATATATAAATAAAATTAACAACTACTAACATGGTTATGAATATCCTTCTTAATGCATCTAAATAATGATAATATTCACTATAAATATTAATGCCACTGAAGAATGTGGAGAAGATCACTGTGTCCACTGATGAACAATGCATCATTCATGATAAGTATGTTTGGGCATTCACCAGAAGTGATACAATATCGTGCAGATTGCATGATTAGGTTGGTCTCCACCCCAGAAAACAGTTATTATAGCAATTATTATCAGTCTGAATGTCACCGCTGTTAATTATAATGATCACACTTGTACATATTAAGCGTAATAATGATTCAATACTGATATTAAAACTGTTAGTTAGATTAGAATTTAATTTAGTCTTGCAGTTTCTCACTGTGATGACTTGAGGGCTGTAAAAACTTTGATACCGAATACACTCACCATACACATACTTCCTATAGAACCTTCACAATAAAGCAACCAAAATAATTGGACTCTTTTGACCACAAGTGTTAGTATGCTATTTAATCTGCCTTGATGCTGCTATGAACATTTCTAGCAGTCAGAAACCAAATCCATTTTATTGAAACAGCCCTTTATAATTATTTTATACTATACTTCTGTTATTACTGATTATAATGTTACTGATATTATATATCAGTGGTGGAATAAGTATTTAGATCTCTTACTTAAGAAAAAAGAGCTCAGGTAAAAGTAACTATTATCAAAAAATATGCTTGGAGTACAAGGCTTTGCATTGATACATTATTATGTATTATGTATTATTATTATTATTATTATTATTATTATTATTACATTTATTGATGCAGTAACATGTAAGAAGCATTTTAATGTTGTACCCATTTTAATGTAGAGCTAATTTTACTAATTTTCTATGCAGTTGACTGGTTTAATTCACTGTGTAACAATGCACTATATTTTACATGCTCATATACCTTTTTAAAATCTTAATTCAAAAAGTAACTACAGGTACCACATAAATGTAGCATCGTAAAAAGTACAATACTTCGCTCTGAAATGTAGTGGAATAGTATAAATTAGTAACTGAGAACAACTAATGAGTTGGGTATAATATGCAGTTCAGAAATGTGTCTGGAGTTCAAATCTGCTAATAAGTAAGTCTCCACAGTATAAGCAAGATCTTGAGATCTATCACAAGAGATGTAGAACGGAATATGCCAACATTCTGGGCAGAGAGTTAAGATGAGATTGATATACAAATGATCCACTCAGCTACAGATCAGACAGCAACCGAATAAGCTGACAATACTGGGAATCATTTTTAGACAATGGGTTAATGATGACTGATGGTCCCCGGGGGTTATTGTGCAGGACAAAGATCGACAGTGAGGATGAGGGTATTTTCCTGGCAATCAGGGAGCCTGCGGACCAGTGTTCACCCTCCTTTTTCACTCCATCTAGATTTCAGGTGGCCAATTCTCCATAGAGTTGTTACCTTGGAAACAGCACCTTATGTATTTATAGAGAGGGACTGAGTAGACATGGAGACGGGAGAGCAAAGAAACAAGTTAGGGACTGTGATGGAGGTTTTCATTTAGCTTGGAGAGCACATGCTGGGGTGCTGGATTTACAAGGTGCTTGATGAAGTAATCTGGTCATATTTTTATTTTGAAAGATGCTGCTTTGTAATTTAGCTTGAGCTCAGGTTATTATCCCAGCGCTGTGGATCTGAATCATTTTCACTGCTTCAACTCATTTGCAATTTGCCCTCAAATATATCTCGTCTTTCCTGCCATAATCTATCCCAGTCTCTCACTCACCCTGACTAGCAAATAAAGCTGAAATGACCTGAAATAATTCTAATAAGATATGTAGAATCACACTCCTTCCACACTGTGCTGCTCTTGACCTTTGGTGGGTGCTCTCTGTGGATTCACTAAATCGCACCCTGATGTGTGACATCACTCTCTTTCACAGCACATTAACCCTTCGTTCAACCCAACATGATATCGACTTTTCAGCATCCCTCGTTCTCTCTAACCTCCTGTAGTAACAAAGCACATTTTGCAATTTTCTTGAGTAATTCAATTTTAATGCTAATTTATACTTAATATTTTAAAGAAATATTTTACTTTATACTCCACTGTATTTATTTGACAGCTTTAGTTACTTTATTAAAGGTTAAACCAGTGATGCCCAACCTTTTTAGCTTGTGACCCACGGTAAAAATCACTATCTACTTGGGGCCCATTGCCATGTTTCATAGGTAAATGATTTATTAGCAGTTCCATCCAAAAGTGAAAGGGAATCCCACTAAAATAAAAATCTGGGGGTGCAGAGTTAGAAAGAAGAGTTAGAAAGAAGTGAACTTACCAGACCTCAATAGTTTGCTCCTCATCTCCGCTTGAGGCTGGTGGTTTGAATCAACATCAGCCGCTAATGAATCTCTAGCTGAACTGTTGACAGTCAAGTTGTACTGTGGGGTAATGCAAACGCCAGTTTTTGACAAGGAAGAAAAATGCACGGAATAAAAAAGACGATATCTCTGGTTCTGCTGTATCAATTCTGATCATTTTTTAAACTGTCCACCATGAATCTGACAATGTTATAAGATTGAATGGAGGAACGCTAAACTGGTGGAGTACTCTTTGACTTTCCCTCCAGCCTTCTGAGATGGTGTCATTTAAATAAGCGTTTGATACTCAAAGGGGGTAAAATACTCCATTGTTTCACAAAAAGCTAAGATAAAGCATCTGAATATTTCTTCCGCCACTGATGACTTCCATCCCATGGGAGTTGTGGCACTCCACCATTGTTTGGCATTGACCAGCTGTAGCTGTATTTGCAACCTCTGAAGATCAATCAAATGGTTTTTGTAATGAATTGGTAAAGGGGAGGAGGAGTAGATGAAGCCATGATCACATGTACATCCAGTATCTCATATTAGTTTTAATTTTGCCTGGTGGGAATGTTTAGCATCAATAAACAAAAAAGGGTTTAAAAGGTTGTAGTACATCTTTCCTTACATGTCATTTGCTGACATGGTCCTGTGTACTGCAGTGATTAAGTCATTTGACAGTGCAGTTAAATATTCCATTACAACATTTTCTATCTATGTGCTTATATCATGTATATGTAAAATTAATGGCCACTTGCATTTCTTGGCGTGCAGAAGTCACAGAAGGTGCTCAGCAGTGTGCCTGTAGC